AGATGTTAAGAAATCCTTCTTTGCTGTAATATGCAATGTAGCACCACTGTCAACTATCCACATGCTCTCGTCCGATACTAGATTAACAGACTCATGATCACGTAGAATATCAAGATCATTACAAGTAGTACTAGTAAAATGATAATCGTCGTGATCTTCATGACCTCTTTGTTTAGACTTACCTTTCTTTCCTTTGTTATCCCTTTTCCACTGATAACAATACTTATGTATGTGTCCTGTTTTGTGACAATATTGACACTCCAGATTCTTGTATTGTGGTTTGGACTTGTTTCTGATATTATCTCTACAACTCTTAGGTTCCATTTTATGATGTATCCCCTATTTTAAGTGACAAGTACCTCAAATTAAGATAAAGAACCTTGTGCCTTCCTTCTCATCTCCTCATTAAGAATAACACCCTTAGCCGTTTCCAAAGAAATAACACCTCTAGGAGCAGAACTTGTAATAGAAACCTGAAATGCCTCACAAGACTCTGGTAACGATAACAATAAGAATAATCTCAAAAGTTCATCATCAAATTTGATACTCATTCCTGACATATGATCAATGAGCCCTTGAAATTCACTCAAGTGATCTGAAATAGAAGTCTCCTCCTTATACTTCAAACTTATGAAGCTCTTCAACAAGAACAATTTATTATTCCATGATTTAGTGGCATACAAGGACTCTATCTTCTCCCACAAAGTTTTTGCATGTGTCTCATTAGCAATATAATTATAAACATTATATTCTACATATTGTTGAATAAAACCACATACATGTTGATGTTCAAACTCTCATTCTTCATCAGACCCAGAATCCGACTTTACAAAACTAAAAACTGGTAAATGCAATTTCTTCATAAATAGTAAGTCTTTCATCTTGCCCTTTCATAAATGGTAATTATAACCATTCAACAATACCATCTTCATCTTTGTATTTGACTTCATTATTTAAACAAGTGAAATAGTCCTTAACCAAGAGCTCTAAGGAACTCTTACCGGAAATTAAGACAAAATAACATAATAATAAGCAACAGATATAACATTTCCCAAACTTGTAGGAACCTTGAGGATCAACAAAAAATATAAGATGACAATCAAACAATAAAGGCATAAAAAAACACGGATATTTTTAACGTGGAAAACCCCTCAATATGAGAGTAAAAACTATGATTCGTCCAAACCAAAGAAAATAGCTCCACTATAATCAATTGATATTAAAAGAGAGTCTTAATGTGATTAACAAAATAGTGATAACAACCGCAAATCACAAAGCAAACTAACTTACAAATAAGAATCAAAAAGCTGAAAAATTTCTCAATCTTCAGCTTTAGTGCAAAGCTGATATCTCTCAACTCAGACTTTGTTTTGAAGATCCCAACGGTCTAAAGTTATATATATGTGTTACAAACAAGCCCACACAATTTCAGCTTGATCCGACGGTGAACGAAACGGATGTCGTTGTTTTAGCGAGACTGCTGCAGAAAAAACAGGAATTAGTTTCTCTCTTCTTTTCTCTCTTTTTGAATCCTTATTTTTCTCTATCTCTCTTAACCCTAAATTGACATTCTCCACTTATATAAGTGAGACAAATGGGCTATTTGTGTCTTTCTCCACATAGGAAAGGGGTCCTAGACCAACACCTTTTTAGTACGGTCTTAATGTTTCAAATATTTATGATTGGGGTATGATGGTGCTAGTAATATGATAGCGTGTGGAATGAATTGCATGAATTATTTCTCAAGGATTATCATGATACTTGTTACATATATTGTTTTTCACATAGATTACAACTTGCTTGGATGTTGTTTCAAGAGAAGATTTTCTTATTCGTGATTTCTTTTCGCACTTGACTCTTATTGTCAATGATGTATATTCCTCTTGTAAGTTTCATGATGAATTGAAAAATGTTATATTATAGGAGATTTCATATTTGCTAGATATTGGTGAGCTTAATAGGGGTAAAGGACATGATCAGATTGACACTTTAAAATGGGTTGGAGATACACGTTGGAGCTCAGATTTTTTCTTGTATTTGTAGTATGATAGGTTTTAATAATCCAACTTGTGTGGTTCTTGTAGATATTATACAAAATGAGAGGATTTATAAAAACACGTGGGGATGCTAGTGCTGCTTATAAGTATATGAAATCATTTGAATTTCCATTAATTTTGCGTATGATGAAAGAGTTTATAGGATTTAAGGATCTTTTGTGTCAAACTTTACGATAGAAATTTTAAGATATACTTAATATTATGTAATTAGTCAACACTAGAAAGTTATTATAATTTAAAACTTGAGAGATAATGGGTGAGATGGTTAATTAAAAGATGTAATATTATTTTATAAAAAAAAAGATATTGATTCCCTTAATTATAATATAATTTATATAGAGTGTGAAGGTCGTGCACGTCATCAAATAGATCATATTATTATGAGTCTAACATTTTAGAGGGAATATTTTTTGTGTTATAATTGATCAACAATTGTGTTTTACATAATTAGTAATTTGTTTACTTTGTAAAATAATTTAGGTGCAAGAATGTCAATTCATGTATTAGTTATTTGTTTTATATTCCTTTTGAGATGTTACAAAATTATATTTATTTTAGGATAATACTCTTCTAGATAAAATGAAAAAGTAATTTAAATTATATATATATATATATATATATATATATATATATATATATATATATATATATATATATATATATATATATATATATATATATATATATATATATATATATATATATATATATATATAAAATTATAAAGTCTTACCTTTAGCTTTATATGCTATGAATTTTAAGTTTCATTACTATAAGAGGTTGGATTATTGATTGAAAATTAAGATAATAATAATAATAATAATAATAATAATAATAATAATAATAATAATAATAATAATAATAATAATAATAATAATAATAATAATAATAATAATAATAATAATACGTAATAATAATACATAATAATAATAATAATAATAATAATAATAATAATAATAATAATAATAATAATAATAATAATAATAATAATAATAATAATAATAATAATATATTTTGTTATAGATCAATTTCTTTTATTCTGTCCTCTATTTTTGCTGATAATTTATTTTTTAAAAAGAAAAAACAGCTTGTTATTTTAGGAAAGGTCGTACAACAAATGCAACCAATAAGGACCGGATGAGTGGGGAACAAGTATAATATAGAAAGAGAATGAAAATTTTAATTATTTTTGTAACTCAGAAAGAAATTTTATTATCAATAAATAGTTAACAAAATTTGCTATAACTATATATGTAATGTATTTTAAATTTTAAATCTCTTTTCAGAATATGTTTTATTCTGACCGAAATAAAATAAAATAATAATATACATCTCTTATTTTATTAGAGACCAATTTTATTATTATATTTTGATTTCTTTGTCAAAAAATTTGTGTGAAGCTTTAAAAATATTTTTTATTATTAAAAATATTATTTCATGTTTGAATGGGAAATTATATTTAAAAAGTTTATATAATATTATAGTAAATTAATTAAAATTACATTGAGTCTGAGAGCCAGAATTATAAAAAAAATTCTGAAGTTTATAACTTTTGTAAAAACTATAACAAAATATTTTCCAATTCCTTTATAAAAAATATTTTTATAATTTATTAAATAATTAATATATCATATCTAACTATAAATTAAAAATATTTTTTATGTAACAATTTAAAAAAATATTTTTATAATAAAAAATAAAGAGAATAATATAAGGTTTAAATGTAAAATTTTGGTCCGTTTTTTTAAAAAAATGAACGGTCCTTATCTTTAAATTTTAGAAGTTACAAATTTTTTATTAAAATGTCCACATTTACAAAAAGACAATATATTAGAGGATGTAAATAAAAATAAAAATATTTTTTATAAAAAAGAAATAGTTAAAATGGTGAGTTAAAAAAGAGGGAGGAGAGAGAAGGAGAGAGAGATGGGGAGGAAGCATCCTATTCCTATACATAATGGTGCAAGGTAGCCAAGGCAAGATAGTGTGGTACAAGAAACAATGATGCTGATTTGACATTATAAACTTTATACTTTGCCCATGCTATGCTATACACTATTCTACTTTGTTTGCTTTCACTTTATAAGGATTTTAGGTCTGTCTCAACTTTTATGACTTTCAAACTCAAAATTATTAATCAAACCAAACAAATTGATACCCACTTACATCACTCTCCTTTTACCTTTATATTCTATTCACTCTTTCATCCACTATTGTCCAAAAATACTCCTATTTTTCTCCTTCCAACGTTAACAACTATTCACTCCAATTAACCTTTTTTTATTCACTTTTTACTCGTTACATATAGACAAGTTTCACACTTTACCTTTTTTCAAATAATAATAGTAATAGTGAAAATCTTTTTATTCTTTTTCCATTCATTTTTTACCTACATTGAAACTTTACTTTGAAAAAGTATATTTTAATTTGAAGTAAAGAATATTACCTTGGGAAATTAAATAACGCATCAATATTAAATATAATTGATCTTATCTTTTTCAAAAATGGATATTACATCCTTTAAATTTTAAAATTAAGTATATTTTGATACTCACACAACAAATATACTTCATATTTTATTTGTTTTGAATAGACCAGATATAATATTATTGTCTAGATATTACCTCCTTTTCCATTATTTTATTCCAATAAAGTCATGGAAAGTTTTTATAAAACACGCATTGAAATTACAACTATAATATTTATTCCATTTTTTAATTACCACTATAACATTTTCTTTGACTAAATTGATACCATCCCAAAAACATAATATAAATACTAAACAACAAAATTTGTAAAAATAAAAGATTTCTATTGCTTTTTATTTTATTGTTTTTTTCTTCTAACTATAACATCATATTAATTAAATAAAAACCTAAAAACTAAACCTATTTTTCTCTAATAATTTGTAATATTCTAAACCCTAATGTAAAATTTCTTAACCTAAGAAAGATTAACATGAACACTAGCATCCATGCCAGAGTCACAAACTGGACACTTCCTAACAGTGGACCCACACACATTACAAAGACACAAATGCCTGCATGGTAATAACAGCACAATTGATTCCCTCACCCCACAATTCTTACACAACCTAGCCAAACCACCACTCTGACCACCGCCGAATATCGGCGCCACCGCGGCATCTTCCACGTCTTCGGCCGCATTATTGCTACCGCAGCTCGATTCGGCGTCGTCCTCGATCAATGCGGCATGATGTTGTCCCTCTTTGACATGTGCCATGACTTGTTCCAAATTGTTACGTAGATAATTGGCTGTAGTTTCGTTTGTTTGTGCTAATTCTCTCCAAACCTGATTTTCAGCACTTAAACTTTTGACTCTTTCTTGAAGCATCCAATTTAAGTTTCCTATTCTTTGAATTTCTTCGTCTTTTTCTTTCATTTTCTTTGCCACTGTTTCTTGAATCACGCATGCCAACACTCTTGATTGCCTCATTTTCTGTTCCTCCAACTCCATTCTCATTTTTTCATTCTGTTCAACCATATCAAAATTAATATTAATATCATATTAATATATTCTCAATTAGAAGAAAAATTATATATTTCCATAAAAAATAAGAAGAAAAAAATCTAATCACACTTTAGTTTTAAAAAAAACCTTAATAATCCTTAATAAAAATGGAAAACTAATCTATAATTTCAACCATTTTATTTATTTTAAAGATAATCAAAACGGAAAAGATAATCCATTTTCTGTTTTATTACTTAAAAAACATTTATTACACATAATCTTTAAACATCTATCACATAATTTTAGAAAAGGAAAATGCTTAAAAAAACATAACCACACAATCAAAACAGCTGAACTACTTCAAAAATTATAAAACATCCCATAAATATTTTCATTCAAAGTTTGAAAATTTCTCACACTATTTTTTCAGTTACACCCTTTTTCAATCAAAACAGTTATTTTTTCTTTTTCTATTTTCAAACAAACTTTTTATAAATATAAAAAAAAAAACTTAAAAAAAAACAAGAGAAAATAACAAGTGATGGAAGAAAAATTACATGATGAGCAAGGATGCGATCGATTTCAGATTGGTGATTCTGAAATTGGTAGAGAACTTGATCAGCAAATGATGAAGATTCAGAAGAGATTACTCTGTTTTTCTGTTGAGGTGGTAGAGAAACCAATTCAGTTGATAAATCTCTAGATCTTTTTCTTTGAAGAGGATTATTGTAAGTGAGACCACTATCAGCTCTATTTTGATCACAAACATTTGATTGGTAAAAAGGTAGCATAGATTCATGCATTGTTGTCGGAATCGGAATCGGCATAGCAGAATTCATCTGAACATTGTACATGTTCGAGTTCATCATTTGTTGTTGCTGATATTGTTGCTGCTGATTAGATTTCATCATTTCTCTATATAAACAAAAAAAAAAATTTAATATTAACAAAAAAAACACTTAAAAAAAATATTGTAAAACACAATATGGATATTGTTATGTTTCGAACTAGTCTACGAAATGAAACGAAATTTCATTTCGTCAGACTAGTTCGAATACAAACATAAACTAGTTTGTGGTTAACATAACTAATTGTGATGAAACGGGAAAAGTACCTGTTTGTGAGTAAATGGGTAGAAGGCATGAGATTCATGAAGGTAGCTTCAACAGCCATGAGAAGAATGGATATTTATTTTTGATAAAACTAAGGTTGTTTGTTGTTGTTATAGTTGTGTGTGAGAAAATTGGTTTGGTGTTTGTGAGATATAGAGAGGAAGAAAAAGAGAGAATAAGAAGGAGATGAGGAAGAGCATGCAATAGATGTGGCTAAGTACTAGGGAGGCTGTATGAATGATTCAGATAAAGCTTAGTATTTATTTAGGCTATGGTTATTTATTTGTGTTTTTTTTTTTAAGAGTTAGTAGAAAGTCAAACGCATCTATATAAGAATTATAAAAAATAATATTTAATTTATTGTTTTTTATTGTATTAAATTCAACCATCCCATTTTTGTTTCCAAAAAATATAATAAAAGTGGTGTCAGAATTTGGTCTGGAGGATTCGTTTTCACGTTTTTTCTACTTTCACTCTTTTTTTGAAAATTGGGTTTTCAACTTTTCCTTTTTTATTTACTTTTACCAAGCATATTATATTATACATATTTAAATACAGCATCATGGAATGTACAATGGAGTATTAGTAATATTCTATGGATAATAAATAAATAAATAGTTAATTATAGTAGTATTATATTTTTTTGTTTTACTAAAGAAGATAATTTCCAATTTTTAATTGCCATATGTATCTTTGACAGCTTAGTCACACCAAATACGTGTATTTTTGGCTGTTTGGATTAGGAGCAATTTTGAGAGCACAAAGTTTATCAAAGGTGTCTAGGTTAAGTCATGCCGTCCAACCAAAACATAGTTTTAAGATTTTAATAATGTATGATAAATGGAAGAAAAATGAAAATCTTATTTAATTATGTATATGTTAATTAATAATGCATTTTTATTATTTATAAATAGATACTATAAATTTTAGAATAATACATAATATTAATTGAGTATAATAAATTTATACGGTCATCCGATAGACATTAACCATTCAACTATATCATATCATTAATTTTAAAACATTAATGTTATTTAAAGAAATATATGATGGTCATTGAATAAATTTATAAAATTATTTTATATTGACCATGCATATTCTATTTTCTCATACAATTAAACAGACAATACTCATACTAATTAAAAAGACAATACAATTGTAAAATAAATAATTAAAATTATATTAAAATTAAAAATTCTTTTAGAATAATCTAAAAATGTGAAATAGCATATATTCAAACAAAAAATATTAACTTTAAATTTATTTTTAAAAAATTCTCAAGTTATCATCATGGTCATTGCTTTCGTATAATAATAAAAAATTTCATTACGTTTAAATATAAGGCAATCTTATTTTCTTAAGTACTTAAAAGGTTAATAGCGATTTTATTTTTAGAGGTATAAGCGGATCAGGAAAAATTAATTAAATTAACAATTCAAACTAAGTCAAATTAAAAAAAATAAATCGATTCCTTCTCGTTTTATTCCAAAATCGAACTCCACCAATAAAAATTGATATAGTTTGGTTCAATTCTCAATTTTAATTTTTAGAAATCGTCAAACCGATGAACTTAGGCGTGACACACAATCATGCCCCCCTAAATAGGTGCATACATAGCAAACAACAACAAAGACTGCTCTCCCTTAAGTAGTAAAATCATATCAACATGTCAATTAAAATGCCAAGACATTTTGTGTGACATCAGGAAAAACACAATACACCAAGCCAACAATATAAATACACAAGTTACTCATCATTTTTAGCCAAAAATTGACAAAAATAGAGTAAATACACAATAAACATGGAATAACAAATACATAAAAGCATAGACAATGGATAGAAGCATAAAAAATTGGAAATACAACTAGCAGGATGGAAACACACATTAGTTAGAAACAAACATTTTTTTGATGGAAGCACATTGTTAAGCATTACAAGTCAAGGCACACAAGTGCGCACAATATTTTTGGGTCATAAGTCCTTACATAGGTAAAGCAACAAATGCTAAAACAAAATAAAAGAACATAACTTCTTAAACACTAGTGCTGCTAGATGTTTCTTCTTATTTCACTTCTCTCTACATCTTCATCCTTACTTCCACCACCAGTCTCTTCATCTTGTCTATCATAACTACCCTCATCAAGATTTTCTTGGACATCTTCTGCAGTCAGAACTTCTATCAATCTTTCAAGTCTAATGTTCCTTGCAGCATATATTTTGATAGTCTCATCCAACACCTTACTAGTAGCTTTCAACTCTGCTATTATGTCAGCCTTAATGGTGGGAATAACACTCTATTTTTCATATGTCTTGACAATGTATGGGCCATGTGTCCCCTCAACCAGTTTATAGTGAAAAGAACGGGGTAAATCCCTCTTACTTGTACCTTCTAAATCAATTCAGATTCCTGGATGTTGATTCAGAATGATTCCACAAATTAAGATGGGGAAGGAAATAGGCATTTTTATTGTATAGGAAGTACCTTGCTTCATGATTTTCTCGAAAATATAGGTTCCAAAATCATAATTAATCTTGGTCCCAACAATGTAGATGAATCTTCCCAAACCAATAGCTATAGTTGAAGTGTGGTTGGTAGGCACCCAGTTAGAAGCTTCAATCTTGTGAAGAACGGCATACTTCACACTCAGATATCTTGCATACAACTTCTCTTTTCTAGGTCATTCCTTTACTTGCTTCTCAGTTATCTCTCTATAAATGATGTTATCAGACACCTCAACTCTGGTTGTTCTGCATCACATCTTCCCAAAAACCTTTTAGTCGCAACTGGAGAGAACTCCACACATCTTCCTCTTACATACACTTTCCTAAACTCCTTGCTTCTCTTGTAATCACATTCTTGAGTTATATTAACCACAAACTCTTTTACCAATCTCTCATGACAATTTCCCAACTAAGTAACAGTCTTCATTAATCCAACTTGATTAATGAGATAAACAACTTTCTTACACTTTAGATCATCTTTCACCAATTCTCTTTCTAGAGCAATACGTCTCTGGTACACGTACTTCCACTTTTCCATATTTTTAAAAGAATGAAAATACACATTATCTAGAGGAACATCTGGAATATTTGAAAGACTCTTCTTTGTTACAGACTTTCCTTTTTAATCATGCATGATGTCCTAAACATCAACATCGACATCAAACTTTTATTCATTTGAGGGAGCATCCTTCCTCTTTAGGGTTTTCTTCTTTGAGCTGGGAACCATCACCTTGCATCAATTCTTAGTTGGTCTTACAGTAGTACTTTTCTTCTTATATGGAGTAATCTCAGTCATACCAGCGACTTCTTCTTTCCTATTTTTCAACGTTTTGGAAATGCCAGGGGCCATCCTTTTAATGTTAGGTTCACCATCAGATGCAGAATTATCGATGTTGATATTCTAGTTGTTTTTGTTTTTGTCAACATTCTCATATTGACCTGTTTCTGCAGCAAGTTCATGCTCAGTTTCAAGTACATTCATATCTCCATCAGTCTCATGATAGAGATGCTTGTCCATTAAGGTTGGAAGATCTGGAACATCATCAGGAGTAGCTTTACCATTTAGAATGTTTGAAAGAAATCTACAAAGGCTCTTGTCAACAACATTGTCTTCATGGCTAGATTGCCTTACAAATTTCTCAATGTTAGCTTCTTTGGGACTACCCTTATGAGATGTCTCAACATTTATAACAATATTAGGGTTTACCGGGTCCCTAGTACTATGTTCATTAGAATTAACATTGATAGCTACAGATCCATCAATCTCAGAAGTCTTTTAGACCAATAGAGAAGTATTTGAAGATGTACTTACTCGTGACGAATGAGTCCTTCTTCCAACTATAGTCTCTATGCTACTCTTCTTTGGAGTGCCAGCAGGAATGGTTTTAAGAGGGACATCATGTGTTATAACATTTTACAAATTTTCTGAAATCATTGTTGAATATGGAGCAGAGCTGGACATATCATTTGAGTTTTTATTTTCTATACTCGTTTCCTGACTATTGAAAAACATGATATTGAGAATGATGTTTTTAACAATATCTTTGAGATAGAAGAAAATAAAATGATGTTTGAACTTTGAATTTAATAAGTAAGGCTTGTGAATAGTGCAGTAGGTGATGGGATTTAGATAGCGTATAAATTTGGAAATTTAGAAACTTTGTAATGATGTTTCTGATCTTTCGTAAGCCACTAAATGAAGGAAGGAAAATATTCGATGCATGCCTCCACCTTACTAATTTCTATAATTCATTATCAATATAAATTCCAACTTCAGCACTTAGATTCTCAAGTTAAATAACATCCTTGACCTTGGTCAAAAAATTTGTAGATTGTTTTCCTGTGGCCATATCCTTAATAGCAACAACTTTATCCTTAATGAGATCATTAATGGAATGGTAGAAACCATCACTCTGATTTGTCCTACCATGTCCAGTGGTATTATTCAATATGTTGATGTCACTCATATAATCACAGTATAATGTCGTGACATCCTGTTTGACATTGCATTCTTTCAACATTTTCTGCTTAACTTGAAACTTGTCACATACTTTTCCACTGGATATTAAGCAAGTGTTAGGGATTTCTTGTGGTATCCACATATAATAGTTACCATCAATTTTATCTTCTTTCATATGTCTTGAACACCCACTGTCAAAATACCCATATTCTCTTGTTGGAGTTTCGAGAGAGAAATGAGCAATGAGGCTAATGTTTCATCTTTAGAATTCCACTTCCCTTTGGGCATATTCACTTGATTACTCTTAGGATGAGTATAATGTTTAGGATATTCATATAACTTGTAGCAAAAGGGTCTTATGTTACAATATTTCCCACAATGGTGACATCTCATGGGCTGATGATTAGATCTGATGTAAGATTCCTGATGTCTCACAGAATGTTGGTACTTCTATCCTGACATCATGGTATCATCCCCTTTTTCAGGATAAATTTTTTTTGACCCAGAGGCTTGATCTTATTTATTTAATCCAATTCATGTTGATCTTTCAGCACCTATTCCAGCTTGAAGTATTTCATCTAATATATAAGTCCCATTGT